AAGCTGTCGAGGACCACATGGGTAGCCCCACCCCTTAACAGGTGCCCCACCCCCTGGTCGCGATCTTGTGACTGGAAGTCCTGCCCTTTAACCCTCGACCTTTGCCACCAGATGTCCCTCCCCTTACCCCTGGAAATACTTCTTTCAGCAAGGGGCTTTGCCATCTCAGAACCAGAAAAATACCAAATTATATTCTAAAAATCAAACATCTACAACATTCATTAATGTGATTTTAAAAAATAGTTTTGTCCTGATTTACATGCGTTTGTGTAGTGTACACAGAGGTGGTTGCAAAAAAGCATAAAACGAAGTCTTACTCTTGTATATTGTGGGGAGGTGGGGGGCATGGGGATAGGTTTGTGGGGGGGCTGTTAGTGTGTGGGTGTGGGGGTGTGTGTGGGGTGAGGGAGTATGTGGGTATGTATGTGTGCATATGTGGGGTGTGGGTGGGTATGAGGTTTGTGGGGTGCTGTGTGTGGGGGAGGATGGCTGGGGTGTGTGAGTGGGTGTGGGGGTCTGTGTGTATGGCAGAGTGAGGGGGGTATAGGTGCATGTGTATGGTGGGGTGTGCATGTGGGATTCACTCTATGGACACTCACTCTCTCACTGTGCTCACATACACAGAGTCTCTCCATCCCTCACCACTCTCTGTCTCTCTCTCTCTCCCCTTCCCTCGTTGCACGGACGGACACACACATGCCCCCTCCCACTCCTGGCCCCAGGGTACCAGTGTGGGCCCCATGCTCCTGCAGTCTGGAGATGCATCCATGTGGTGCTGGAGCAGTTTGAAAGCTGCAGCATGCAGAGACTTCCTGTAGGTGGGGTGGGACCAGGCTGGCCTTGTTGCTGGCTCCTGCTGGCTCCTCCTAGGTCCTACTGTCCCTGCCTCCTGTCATCTTTGACAGGCAGCCAGGAGCAGATAAAAAATTTAGAAAATGTATATTCAGGGGCCCTGTGGGCCAGATAGAATGGCCTAGCGGGTTGGATGCAGCCTGGTATTTTGCCCACCCTTGATATATTTGGAAATTGAAGTATCTTGTCTTGAAGACCAGATACTGAATGAAGAAGCTACAATGATGTAGGCTCTCTCACTGTGCCTCAGTTTGGGTGTAGAGGAAGCACTTCATTAAGCAAGGAGGCAGATTAGTTATCATAGCAGTTTATGCCTTAGTCTCTCTGAATGGGCCCCCAATGAGGATGCACATTTTGGTTATATATGAGAGAGAAGTGCCATCTAAGAGCACCTGTTCGTTTCACATAGGCCACCAGACTGTCCTTCTACCATAACTTCTTGTGATCACTACTGAGCTGGATTTGGACTCATGGGCTAAGTACTGTTAACAATGTGGGCATGGTAGTTTGGAGCTAAGTGCAGGAGCTAAGTTGGCTGTTCTGGGCATGTTACACTGCTAGCACTACTCTAGTCAAGCTCAGTCAGGCCTGTGTGTACAGCCTATCCACAGGAAAAATGAAGGGAAATCAACTAACAGCTTGAAATTGATGGATGTAAGTTAAAGCATGTTCATATCCCATGTGGATGCTCTCATTCATGAATAAGTCAAAAATAGTTGGCATATCCTGGCTAGTGTTCAGATGTATAGAGTGAAAAAAATTAAAGATTCCAAATCATGAAAAGGCATAAGGCTGAAAAGGTGTGAGATGTCAGTTGGGTGTATTCAGAGAAATCAGAATTTAGGACCAAGGGATATCCAGCTTCATAAACTGAGATGGAGATTAAGTCTATGTAGTTAGAGTCACGTATGTTTTACTGAACTGAGCTCCTTCTATTCTGACTGAGTTGGCAAAATCATTAAGTGCTTCAAGGAAAGGAAGAGGATTAGCAAAGGAAAGAAGTCTCAGCATTGCCTTGAAAGGCAGTCAGACCAAGCCTCTTCTCTTACCCGGTGGGAAGATCCGCTCTCTTCTGAAAGTGCAATCTGAATCTTGAGGGCCTTAACTTATCAACATTAATAGGAGCCTTAGTTTTCTTAGCAGACAACACTGACCTACCACTAACAAAAAAATCGGTAATTTGTTTTGAGGTGTTGCTTTTAACAGTTTAGTTCTAATTTTAGTAATAATGTATTTTGCCTAGGTCAGGGAAAAGAGTTTCTTGGTGTGGTGTTTTGTTTTTTTTTTTAAATCTTTTTACTTGGTATCTCTGGCTGTAAGTCTCACTGGAGATGCGACGCGATATACAAAAAACAGAATAACCTCTTGGTGACAATCAGCATTAGCATTGGGTTCAACACTGTATTAGTAGTACATCCTTTGCTAGTGATGGTAACTTTTCTCATGGAGACCAGACCTCTGCGTTAGATAGGCTAGGATGTAGAAATCTGTTTTTTCTGTAGCCTTTCAACTTTGTTAAAATGACACTCTCTCTGGAATGATGAGGTGCTGATCTTGAAGCAGGAGGATGCTGAAAGTCCAGCTTTGACAGACTGAGAGTAAAAGGGAAATTAGGAATAAGAAACAAAAACATGATTACATTTAATAAAAGTCTGAGTGCAAAAATTGAAGATTCCACTTTGACTTCATATCGAGTCCTTGATCATACAAGGAAAGCCTATAAAGATAGACAGCCTAGAATTGAATTCAGGCTTCTTGTGGCTAATAAGTGACTTTATATAGAATTCCTTTTTGAAGAGATCATCTTTTTAATGAGTTAAAAAGGTTAATTCACTAAAACATCATTTTGTTAATAATTTGCAAGATTTCTTTTCTATACAGTGAAGGATATATTCTTCATAATATTATATCCTTAATTAAACTACATTTTGTTCTTCCTGTGTTTTAATAGCTGTCCAACCTTTTATAATAGAAGTCCAAACTAAGCATCAGTTTCATAGCATTTCTGTGGTGTAAGTTCTAATTGATGTAAAGAGCAGTATGGATTCTCTACTTGTTTAACATGTGGTTGACTAGGCTGATGGAAGGTTTAGTTGGTTGTGTCACGGTGACAGGTATCCACTCTGGGCCACCCTTAATGTGCCCCAGAGACAGGTGTGTGGGCCAACCGCCCACCTACTCTCCTGCCATGTCTTGATCTTAATTAATTAATTAATTAGCGGGAGGCTGCCCTTATACTGCCCCACCACTAGGGGGCGCTATCTGCGGCTCCGCGCGCTTCCTTCCCTACCCCGCAGTCCACGCCTCGCCGATGGGAATCGCTGTTGTCTCAGTTATCTCACTATTCGGCCCCTTACCGTTCTACCTTCCTTCCTTTACTGCACGCTCCCTCTGGTGCTAGGGCTCCCTCCAGCCCCCTCTCGCTCTGTGCCCTCTTTTCTTGGGCCTTTCTACAATGCTGCCCCCTCCTGGGGCTTTCCGTGCCCACCCTTGGGCTTCCCAGTAAAGCTGCCCCCTTTCTGGGGCTCTCCGTGCCCACCCTTGGGCTTCTCAATAGCACTCCCCTCTCTGGGGTTTGCCACGCCCACCCTGGGGCTTCTCAAATGCCCCTCTCTGGGGCTGGGGTCTGTGCACCCCGTGTGCTGCACCCGCTGGCGCTGGGGTCCTCACACTCTGCTGTGAGTCCCCTATGAGGCCTCCTCCATCCCCTTATAGCCTCACCCAAACCACCAGTTGGTTTAACAAACAGCAACACAAACTTGAGCCTCCTGGCTATAACTCAAACATAAGCTGCCTGGCTACAACATTGCTCAACTCCAGTCGAGCTGTACCTGTAGTTCTCGCTGCTTCTCACATCATTACTCCAGAAGCTCCTGACTCTCTGGCTGCTGGCAGGGAACTGCCTCTGGCTTCATAAGAGCCAGGCCCTGCCCCTTAGGGTCAGCTGACCTTCTCTGGTTGCCCTGGCAACCCACAGCTGGGCTCCTTATTCCCTGCTAGGGCTTCTTCCCTAGCAGTTTTCCCCTCTATGGGAGCAGGGCACCTCAGTGCTCTGTGACAGTCACCCAGGTGGTGCAGTTATGTGTTATAGGGTAAGGGAAGGAAATGAGATGGACATTAGCTGAATGAACACCTTCCCTTGTCTGATTCAGAGTGGTGTACAGTACTGGGTTGGAGGAGGCTACAGTTTCTCACCATGAATGAAGGATGAGCACTGGAGGAGGATGTAGGAATTTAAGGGGAAACCTTAATGGCTCCTGGAATTGAGTGGAAGGGAATCAAGAGAATTCCCATATGGACTGAGTCTGACCTTAGACGAAATATGTTTTGTTTATTATCAAAAGGAGTCTTTGAAGTCCTCAGCTGTTATCAGTTGAGATGCATTCAACAGTGTCTGTCTTTTATTTTTTTTCATAGTTTCCTATCCATTTATATGCTTTGCCAAAAACCCAAAACTCCTAAAAAATCACAACTAGTTAATAGTATGAATCTTTCCCAGGGGATTTTGTAAGTATGCCTAATATTTTGGGCTCCATGAGATATACAGATGGTAGTGATTGCTCATGTAGACAACTTAGCATCACAACTCTGAGGTTGAAGGTAGTATAATGTAAGCCAGTGGTTCTTAACCTTTTAGACTTGAGGCACATCTCAGTAGGCTTGAGGCACCTCTCAGAAAATACTGGCTCTCTGTGCTCATTTATTTTTTAAACTACCGAAAAATAATAAAGTGATTCTTCCATTGCAAAGAACTCAGAAAGCCCGCAACAGGTCAGAATGGTTTAACACTATGACTTTCTATTTGAAATATCTGGCTTTAGCTCGTGGAAAGTCCAACAGTGCTAACATTGTATGGCACTTCAGGATATAAGCATTATATAAATAGTTTTTCTTCCATGCAGATCACACTCTTAGTGTTTAAATATTGTCTTATTCATACAATGGTTATTTGGGGGTTATTCCATATCAATATATGGAATAACCATATATACCGATAACCATATATATATATATATATATATATATATAAAACCAATATATAACCATATATATCAATATGATATTCCATATCAACCCTTATTATTAATGAATTGAATGAGCTTGGGGTTGTTTACCTCACTTTACACATTTGTCTTCTCTTCTCCCAGCAGGAATATTACTGGGCCTCCTGATCTGCACAGTCGCATCCCCATTAGACACTTCTGGGACCAGAGTGAACCAAGGCTCTTTGTATGTGAAGCAATTCTTGAACCAAACCATCCATTTCTAGAAAAGACTCAAAACCAGACAGAGAGCTCAGAAAGCACAGTATGTTTTTTCTCATGCTTTGTTCTGTATCATCTGTTAGTACTTGCCTTTTGCTGAGGTGTAAGGATAAGCCCTCTGATTCAAGGCATAAGCCAATTTTTTAAAGTATTTGTTGCCTTCAATTGGTCATAGTATATTTTTCTGCTAGTAGAAGCAAACAGAAGGAAATAAAAACCTGATGCTTTTCTTGTAAAGAACAATCAGAACAAATTATTTAGTTTTTTTATATATTTTTGATATAAAAAAGAAGCAGAAAACATCTAGATAACTTTTAATTTCATTTTAAAAGGTGCCTATTCAGCAAAGCACTCAACACATGTTTAAAGAAGTAAGTAGGTTCGTTGATTTCATTTGTGTATGTGTATCAAGACCTGCATCCATTACAGAAATAATATTTACATTGCTAGTATACTGGGGTGATAACCCAAAATACTGTATATGAGCTCATACTGTATATGAACTCCTGCCATTGTTGTGTGTCAGTACATCAAACAAATATTGCTCTTTAAAACCCACAGGAGTGTTTCTGACCTTATTGAACATTGTTTCATAGCCAAAAATTAAATGAAAAGCAACCATAAACCAAATGAAATCCAAATTATGTAAAATGCAATGTGCTGAGAAACACTTTGAGCTTCTAAAATGGCTCTGGAAGTGATGCAGGTTTAAAAATAAAAACGGGGAATAGCAGTCATAAGTTCTTAAACCTGAATCAGGTCTGTCAAAGAGAGATTTCCGGAGCAGGAA